CTTACTCTCTTTTTTTCCTCTCTCTCACATGTGAAATATTTATACTTTTGTTCTTTCTTTTTACTTTTTCCTCTCTTTTTTAATTGCTTTTAAAAATGTCTAAAGTGTGATAAAATATAGAGAACCTAAAATGACCCTCTTAACCACATTTCAGTGTACGGTTCAGCAATGTTCAATATGTTCCAAATGTCATGTTTCTTTCTTTTTTAAGCAATACAGAATGTACACCTTTTGATAACCTGGAGCATGGAAATCCACAGTGAAATAGGTCTTTATTTCAAAGTGGTCCCTAATCTTTTTCTGATGCTTAAAAAAAGAGAGAGAGAGAGAGAGAGAGAAATAGAAAGCGCTTCCCAGCATCTCTATCATTTTTGCTAACTGAAGAATCCCCTATAAAACACATGAAATTGTAACAATAAGCTTCAACACAAGAATCCAATGTTCTAGCAGATATTTCTGCTGAAAGACAAACAATTTCACATTCTGCACATATGAGCTCAGTATCTCAACTGGAGTATGGAAGCATGTTGAAAGATTTAGTTTTGTTTGGGAAACTTCCTTAAAATCTCAGATAGTTGTCTTGGCAGTCTTCCAAATTGAAAATATCATGATGAGTTAAAACTGTGCTTCATTGTATTTTGATCCATTATTTGAATTGGGGTGATTTTAAGAAAGGTCATTAATTTGTTGCTCTGTGAAAATGAATAGTAACAATAATACTCTTCACTCAAACACATACCAGCAAGAGGTTCTCCCCTCAGAGATACTATAGATATATTGATATTCTTTCCTAGGAAAAGTAGGTCCTGAAAAAAGTCACTCTGTTAACCTTTCTGCTTGGGAAAAGGCAATGTGCTGACCAATCATCAAGCAATTTGAAAATGGTTCTTTGTGGCACTAACATTGGCCACAGAGTTTATCTCATGCGTTAAGACCTCATTCCAGGCTACAGATGACAGCCAACACAATCCAATGATCTGTACAGCAAATGAAATTTTCTGAGGCTTTTCTAAAGCAAGACTCCTGACAAAAAGGAAATATTACATATTTTCTGGGGGTTTTGTTCTGAATGAATGGATGTTACTATTGTATTTTTATTTTTATTTTTAAATGTTTACCTAGGACACACACATACATAAATTGTTCCCTATATAGAATGACCAGATTTAGCAAACAAAAATACAGAATTTCTAGTTAAATTTAGTTTCAGATAAATAACAAATAATTTTAATATAAGCATGCCCCATGCAATGTTTCATGCTATATATGAGACATACTTATACTTTAAAAAGTATTCACTATTTATCTGAAATTCATATTTAGTTGTATACACGTTTTATCTAGCAATCATATTTCTAAAGTTCATTAAAAATTGTATTTAGTTGATATGTAGAATTTAATTTAAATTTTAATAATAAAATCAATGTCGTCTTCTCTCTTTTGTCGTTTTCAAGTACCAGCATTTCTTGTCTAAACTATTTGCATTTTGTGTCATTTCTCTGCCCATCTCACTGTGCTTTTTAGGTGTAAAATTACTAATACATTTTACTTTTATTTCTGGTTCCAAAAAAGACAGGTTATAGAGGTATAGTTCAGTTTTGTGCTTTATATTAAAGTGCATCTATTGAAAAAATAAATTGTAAAAGTACATCTAACTTTCCTTATTAGCTGCATCTAAATTTTCTCACTTATTCTATTTTTTTAATTTCATATCCCTACCCATGTTGCATTTAGCTTATAACTATGTCTTGAAGTCTTTTGCTTTTGTTGTCATTTCTACACACACACACACACACACACACACACACACACACACACACACACACACACACAGTTGCTGTGGATAAAAGTCAATAAATGAACAGTATGAAAAACATGAGTCAAGTCATTATAAGGAAGTTTTAATCCCACTGAAGAATTCTGATATACAACTTTCTATAGAAGTCAGGGGGAAAGAGCAGAAACTAAAACATAAAGGAACAATTGCTATTATTTTAAAGAAAAAAACTCTTTTTCTATAAGCTGATTTTGGAAAGAGGGCTACCTTAGCTCAGAAAGGCTTAAGAAATAGTTGTCTATATCTCTGCTCCTGTCTTCCTGTGAAGATGAGTGGTGAGAAGTTCAAAAATACGTCTTGGCAAAGCAAACCTAACAAAACGCTTAGGCCAAAGAAAGGCTAGGACTTCAAGAGAGGTGTAATGATTTCTGGAAACCAGAAGAATAGTGTCTTGATGGTCTGTTAGGTGAACAGCAAGAGTGAAACTTAGCAAGAAATTTTTAAATAATTGTCCAGAAATTATTCCTTCCATGCCGAATGTGGATATTCACCACACAACACACGTATATGAAAATTTCCTAGATCTCAGAAGTCTTAATGTCGTTTCTGTGATCGATCTCCTACCAGAATAATTTCAGAAATAAGCTCAATATTATAACTGGAATGTCTCTTAAAGGATTTAAAAGTTTTGATTAGGTGTTTGGTGTTTTAATTTAAGGCTTCATTGGAATAGACTAGATTTCTTAGAGGGGCCATCTCCACAAAAAATGTATAGTGCATTTATAATATGTAATAGTTTGACCCACAATTATCAATGAAGTTGAGCAGAAAATTGGAGTTTAATCACATAGAAAACTTGATCTTCTGTCTTAATCAGGGCCAAATTGAATATATCCAAAATACGTGTTTTCTATTCAGTCTTAATTTAAGTGGTTACAGTATGAATGATAATTTGCCAAAGAAACACAAAGGTAACATATTTATTTTTTAAGAAAATCTATTCTGATGCTGTTTACTCCCTAAAATTACTTGCTTCTTTTTGACGATGACTCAAAAAGGACAACCACTGCCTCAAAAATTGAAGCCTCTGCAGTACAACTCAGCACTAGAAATAACCCAGAAACTGCCATAATGGAAGAGTAAGAAGTTCTGGGTCACACCAATGGTCTGAGGTCAGACTGAAAGAGTCAGCCTTAAAAGAATGAGGAGTCCAAGTGCCTATGATGAAAGGTGGTCAAATTAAACACCCTCTCTCATCTGTCCATGACCAAGTTCCTGCTTATGCCATTTTAGTTCTGGCACCATAACTGCTGGGAATTCAAACGATTATACAGGTGCCCCATACGAGGAAAATGATCTTTTAAGGCACCCTCCTATGTGGAGGCGAGAGCTTTATAATAGAGGAACCATTTTCAATACTTCTGAATCAAAATTCAAGAAATTTCTAGCACCTATTAAAAGTGGAATAGTATCTATTCAAAATCAGTTTGGGGATTGCAGAAAGAAAGTAACAACATAAATCAAGTAAAGGAAATAATTGAATGTTTTGACATTGTGAAAATATATAAATGATACCTCTTCTCAAAAGAAATGTTATTGGCAATTTCATAAAGCAACAAATAAATTTTATCCTTCACTGAAAATAATGGTTAATTGGTCAATAGATTATTTTTTTTTAACTTTTTAACTCATAGTCTAATTGTTTTCAGTGGCATTTTACAAAATGAATCAAGGAGATAAAGGTATTTATTTATCTGTAATTTTACCTTGCAACTCTTTCCAAAAAGGATGTGATTAAATCCTATAATTAAATTATAATTAAACTTCACAGTGAACAGAATTGTTTTATTAAATGGAAAGAGAGATAAGAACAGAATGTGTGAGACAGAAAGAAAGCTAATTCTAACAAGCTTCTTGAGTATGATGATTAAATTTAACTCTTCATTTTAAGGAAAGCTGAGAAATATGATAGATTGTATAGTTTTACTATTTTCATAAAACCAATCATCAATTCTTTACAACAGTGCATTGAGTTGCAATTAGTATTTTTGTCATGCCTGAGTTCAATTGTTTAAAGTATGTAGGTAATTGTGTGTCCAGATTTCTTTAGATACTTCTTATAAACGGAAATAGGAATGGTTGTCAACTATTCCTGTTTTGTACAAGTATGTTTTAAAGATGATAAGCATAGAATGTGGCATGTTTTCAGTATTCATCTTTATGAGACATTTTGACAAACAATTTAAGTCTTAACACCTAATATTAACTTGAGTGAAAATTGTTGAAAAAGGAAGATATATGAAAAGTTGTAATCTTATTTTATATACTTGATTAAGTTTTTGGTTGCTAGGATCAGTATATGGCAAGTTTCTTCTCCCTGCATTGTTTTAAGCTTGTTTTGTTGCCTTTTAAAAAACTAATTCCATGAAATAAAGTAATAATAAAAGAAAATGAGAATTAATCTGTCCTTACTTTAAATTATCTTAATAGCTATTTGGATCACAACAAGGTCAGTCTAATCGTCATACCATTTGTGATAACAGAAAGAGGTCAATACATTGAGAGGAAAAGGCTTTGATGATACATGATTCACTCAGTTAACAAACATTTTGAACTTCTTCATGGAAAACATTGTGCTAGCACTAGGGTACAAGGTTAATGCAATAGAAATCTACTAGAGAACATCTCAATGGGGAAACAGTCACATAAAAATTTATAGTAGAAACTCATTCATAATGTAGGTGCATATGTTATTTTATTTAAGAATAATAAAGGCTTATTGATTGATGTTTTACCAAAGAAAGCAGGTTAAAAAAACACAGAATTATTTCTTAAACTGAGCAAAGACATTTACCTTTAAAACTCTAAATCTCTATCTACATTCCTTCGCTCTCTCTCCCATTAAGGCTGTGTGACAGAAATCCTAAGAATGACTATTTTTAGGACTTATAACACAACTGACTGTTTGACATACTTCACTCACCTCTTCTGTGCCCTCAGAGTCTTCAGTTGGAAATAGTCTTAGAATCATTAAAAAAATTCCAGTGAAATTATTTGAACTCCTTGAAGAAAATGATACAAACTAGTAGAACTTTGTTGGTGTAGTTGTTGTTGTTTGCTGTTAACTAACTTAAAATCAATTACAGTTGCCATTATATCATGCCACCTGTGGGTGGTAGTGGGGTATATTTTCAAAGTTCAAATATTGTTTTCTTTATTACAGGTTTCTTTTCTCCATGGAAAACTCCAAAGCCTGTAAGTTGGAATTATTACACTTCTTTTTTCATTTCCTGTTACTGCTGCAATCCCATTAAATAAGAGTTGAATTGAGTGACCTCAAAATCCTTCACTTCTGAGATTCTGTGATGTCAAAAGAACAAATTCTCTGAGTCCTTTCATCTTGTATTTGTCCCACAAGTACAAGATCAACTCATCTTACTTTCCTCTAAAGACAATTCTTCCCTTTCTTTTAATATGCTTACAAAATGAGCATTAGCACTATTCTGACTAGTGTTCTTTTAAAATCTTTTGTTTTTTTCCCTGTCAGAAATACTGTAAAGTCTTTGTTACGTAAAATGTTTAGAAACACTAGGCCCAGGAGTCTTGACCTGCAAATTAAATCTGGTTCATAATAAATTTAACTCTTTATATATTTATATTTATATTTTACTGTCTACAGAGCGAAATATATATGTACATGTGTGTTGTGTGTATATCTATAACATATATATGTTAGCACTGTGTGTGTGTGTGTGTGTGTGTGTGTGTGTGTGTGTGTGTGTGTGTGTGTACAGTATTCACAGACTCTGGATACTATATTCTGCCAGACTCTATACAATATTCTGCCATATCTGGCAATCAAAGTGTTACTTCTGAGTCTTCTTCAGATACTGGATATCTCCATCATCATCTAACTTTTCTGGGTCTAGTTCTCCTGTAACATGCTAACATCTGTATGCCAATGTAGGAGACTGGTGGGTTTTAATAATCTTTTTTGTAAGACTAGGCTAGCCAAGTTGGTTTAGCAGGTAGAGATCATCTTTACGTGCCATTAGATTTAGACTACTAATTGCCCAAGTACCAAGAGCTGGGATTGGTTTTTTTGGGATCCCATTTTCTGGGGTGATAGAATATTCTACCCTAACAGGAATGTCTGAAGTCCATGACTGGCAGAGTACTGTGGCAAAGCTAAACACTGTCCCCAGGCATGTCCTCATCTAGGATTGGCTCATCTGGTCCACAGAGAACATCAAATGGGAAAACCTATTTAGGTTTAGCAGATTAGCTAGCAATGCATGTAATTTTGAAAAGAGGTATTTTTAAATGTTTAAAATGAAATTTTGTTTATTTTGATCATTGTCTAAGTAGCTCTTTCCTTTCACCACCAAACTTAAGTGTGTACTCTATGGTTATACACATCTTTATCTAATAAGGAACCTTGCAACCTCATTGTGGTGCTATAATTTTGCAATCTAGTGATTTCCTTATATGTACTACACTTAGACAAATTATGTCATTTGGTGTAATTACAACATTTGCTATCATTATAGTAATTACATTCATAGTCAATAATTCCAAAAAAGGTTTTATAGAACTCAGTGTACAATTAATCCTGAGTCCATGTATCTATACAAAAGCTAAGGCCTATACTTCCAGATCCAAGGCTGAATGAAGAAAGAGGGCTATAGATTTAATGTCCCCTGTGTGTCTACCAGAAAGTCTCTTTAGATTGAGGACCATAATGAGAGGAAGTATGGTATAATTGTTTAGGGTGCAGGCTGTGGAAGTATACTTCCTGGGTTCAAGTTTGGTTCCTCTTTTTACTAGCTGTATGACCTTGAACTAGCTGCTTAAGCTCTCATCTCAAGTTCTACATCTGTAAAATGGAGATAATAATAGTACCCCCTCTTCTATAGTTATAGTGAAGAGTCTATGAGTTAATCCATTAAAGTGTTTAAAACAATGCCTCTGTACATTGAGCTCAAAAGTATAACCTATTATCACCATAAGAAGCAGACCCTCCATGCATGAACTCTTAATATATTAGTCACTCTATGAAATGAACATACTGAGCTATTAACCAAAACAAGCATATAGCAATATACCCACAGTATATGGATTTATGTGCTCTCTCCTCTGAAGAGGATTGATGACATCCTTAGAATAAGGAAATCTTATCCTGGGTGAAATCTAACCTTCTCCTCATCCTATGTCACTTCCTGATGCTCTTCTGTTCCACTGATCCACATCTTACACTAATCCATGTCAAGATAGTCACTTCCTGTTTAACAAATAATGCACTATTTATAGTGAGTCTTCATTCTCTCCAACTGGAAAGGATAAAGTTCATTCTTCAAGTACAGAATCAAGCCAAATGCCTTCATCTTCCAGCCATGCCCAAAACAGTGAGGTTGGGGGGGTAAATTATCTGTTTCTATAAGAAGAAAACAAGTTCTAGACAGAGTATTTCACGAGGGGAAAATCAACCTTATTCACAACCCTTCTACTCCCAGTGTCCACCATAGAATCAGAAGCTGTGGTTAAAAAATTAAAAAATCATCTGAGCCCACGAGTTCGACACCCTCCCGGGCAACTTGACAAGACCTCGTCTCTATAATAAATCAAAAATTAGCCGGGCATGGTAGCACACACCTGTAATTCTGGCTTCTTAGAAGGCTGAGGTGGAAGGATCACTGGAGCCCAGCAGGTCGAGGCTGCGGTGGCCAGGAGCGTGCCACTGCACTCCAGTCTGGGTGACAGAGTGAGACTCCAACTCAAAAGAAAAAATTTAAAAATCAGCCATGACTATTAATAAATTTTTCTGTTTTACTGTTTGTTGCCTAGGTACGGAGTGTATGTTCAATCTGTCCATTGATATTTCAGTGGCTGTCCTTTCATATAGTTGAGCAGACATTTTTTTATTCACCAAGGCCAATAGTGATAACAATCTTCTTTCACATAAAGAAAACAACTTTATTTCCATTTTTTCTTACTCTAGTGAGATGTTTATAAATTGACCCAGATATGAACACCATGGGGACTGGACAGGAGAGGCCCGTAAGAGTCCTTGTTAAGAGATAAACAATTGGCAGGTAACATGAACTCTAGACAGGTTGAGGCCAGAAAAACACTAGGTAGATAGAGCAAGTTAGACCCTGGAAATGGGCAATCCAGGAGGTTCACGAAGGTAAAGAAGAACAGAGCGTCTTCGATAGAAAGCAGACATCCACAGACCAAGGTGTCTAAGGAAGTAAAGAGGAATCAACAGAATCTACCCTTCAAAAGATGCAGTAGGTCCAGCACAATAGCCCTAGCAAAGGGGGTGACCTCTGATCACAGGGCAGGTGATTTGCTCCACGGTCTTCTGGGTCAGAGCCACCGGGTAACAATTTGGAAGGAGTAGAGCAGGAGGTGGTGTAGAGTGGAACAGTAAGTCTGTTTTTTCATGGATGCAGTAATTTTCTGCTCTACAATCTCTTAAGAAACCCTGATAAAGTGACTCAAGGGTTAATAAATGTGACAGCAAGAAATTGTGAATGCTTTACTAAGCATGAACTGGATTCTTGACTAATTCTCCAATCTCTGTGCTACAGAAACTGTAGAATTTGTCAATCTGCCATAGCAACTTTCCTAAACAGTGCCCAAAGCATTATTTGTTCTGTAGTTTTAAGATTGTTTTTTAGAAATACCAATATTTTACCTGAAGCATGTTTGCGCCAATGACTGTACATGAGCAATACATATACCAGCAAGATACATGTGGGTATCAGATAACCCTCAGTGGAATATGAGAGAAAGAAATAGACATTTGCCAAACCCCTATAATGACAAGTGGGATATTACAGCTCCTCAGACCATATTTCTGCTTTATTTACTTTTTAGCATTTAATATCTTATATTTTAAAACAGAGAACGTCACAGCCAGAATGCATCCACAAGGTGCCTAAAGTCAGTTAGTGAAAAATCATAGACGATATGCCTTTAACCACCAATATGGGTCTCCCACATTATAACAAAGTCACCCAGAATGGATGATTAAGGAAAACCAGAATGGCTTTCTATATGAGTTTTGCTATCAAATGAATTGTGAAGTATATATTTAAATTTTTCTAAATGTGAGCACAAAACCCACTGAGCAGAAACTTTACTAAAACTCTAACCATATTTTCCAATTATTCTTCCCAAAGGTGATATTATGTAAACAACCACTCCTATTAGTTATAGAAAGAAAAGAGGCCCATTTCTTTCCCAGTTTGCTGACTAAACTCGAACCCTTGACACAGTCTCACATGGGCAGGACAGGCCACAGAGATCTCTGGTATTACACAGTGCACAGGTGTAATTTGAAAACACTTGAGTACACGCCTCCCCCATCCCTCTCAGCTTTAAAATATTGATGATTGGCATATCAGAGCTGGAATCAGAGTCCTAACCAAAATAAAGCCTGTGTGAAAATAAAAGAAGGGCAATATAGTAGGGAACAGAACATTATGATCCTGCCAAGTTCAAATTGCATTGTATATCAAAATATTTTTAATTAACCGTATTTTATTTATTTCATTCATTCGCTAATAAACACTTTCTGAGCATTATTCAACAATGTGAAAGACACAGCCCTTGTCCCCAGCATGTGAAACATGGATGGGTAGACTCATAATCACAGTTGGGTGTGATAAGTGGATTGAGGGACAGGTAAAGGATGCTGTCTGAGCACCCAGAAAGGACAGGATAGTCAGCAAGGGTCTTCTAGGAAAGGAGACATCTCACTCAAATCTAGTAGCTAGGTAGAATGAGGGAAGGGGATGGAAGAGTTTATAATGAGTAAATTTTGCATATGGAAGAGAATAAAGAAAGTCTGCAAAGATTCAAAGGCAGAAGAGAATCTGATGGATCCTAGAGAATGAGCAGAAAGACCATCAGGCGATGTGAGAAAGGTGAGCAGAATCTGGGTCATGAGAAGCCCACCATGCCCCAGGACAGGGAGTTTGGCCTTTGTCCTGAGGACCGTGCTGACCCCATGCAGAATTTAGGCAGGAGGGAAACTAATCTAATTTTTATACACACTATAAGTTTATTCAAAGTAGAAAAGCGGAAGTTGAGTTTAAATGAGGCATCAGTTGATGAATGAAGGTGAAGTTGGCGGTACAAATAGGTGGTCTCAGCGAACCTGCATTTCTTTTTGATAAAAAATGATATTAGTTTCTGCATTGTCTATCTCATGATGCTATAGTGAGGATCAAAGAAGATCATGTATATGAAAGAGCATGATAAACCAGGAAGTACTCTATAGATTTTTTAAGAAATTGTATAGTATCAACATCAGTAGCAGCATTATGGGGAGAAATCACCAGATCAGTAGATGAGGCTTCCTAGAAGATTCTGAGCAATTCCTGAATCCTAGGTGATTGTATAATTATTCTCACAAACTGAAAGGGAAGTGACTGAATGTTCAAGTATAGGAGGTTGTTAAGATATGCGTAGGTGTCAAATGACTATGTGCAGACGATTTTAATCTTCTGCTTTAGTAAAAGTGATGCAATATATTGGGACCATCTTAGAAAAGGAACAAATAATACCATACATTTCTAAGCATTTACACATAAATTATCTTGAGACATGTTATGTTTATTTTATGGGGGGGGAAACAGAAAAATTAAGTGACTGGCTAAAGATTACCAGCTCATAGGTGACAAGGTTATATAAGCTATATGTAAGTTTACATTCAAAAATCAGGTTCCGCTTGCATTTATAACAGTCTATGATGTTTTATTATATAGAAAGAGAATCTTTTCTTTCAAGGTGTTTGTACCAAAGTTTTAAATGTTCCTGGAAGAAAAGTCTATAAGACAAGAAAGTCTAACTTAAAGGTGACAAAAGAGACAGCCAGGAAGAATTCATCTTCTCTGTTCTCTCACTTTTCAGATAATGGACCGATGGGAGAATCAAGGCAGTCCTCAAACGAGTTTATCTGCTTCGGCCATACCGCAGAACCTGCCCTTCCCACCCGCCCTTCACAGGAGTTCCTTTCCTGACTCAACAGAGGCCTTTGACCCACGGAAGCCTGACCCCTATGAGCTCTACGAGAAATCTAGAGCCATTTATGAAAGTAGGCGTAAGTGAAAGCCACATAAAACAAGGGTACATTAATAATAGCTGAGACCTTGCCAGGAGATATACTGAGACTGAATGATCTGGCAAGTTTTTGTATTCTGAGTTTCAAAAGTATCTCAAATGTAGAGCCAGCTGGTCTAAAATTATCTTTAAAAGCCTGTTGACTTTAAAAGTAAGCTTGTTATATCTTTCAGTTTTAAAATTTCTCTCCTATTTTTTCCCTGTAAGCCCCTGAGGAAAATCAGGAATCTATTGGGGAGGGGGGACAGTAGGAGGGGGGACAGTAGGAGGGGGAAGGTTGCTGGTTTTGTTTAAGTTACCAGACAGGGGAAAGAAATGTTTGGAATTTTTATCTGTTTAATCTCATCTTGAATCTAAAGCTTCAGGTTTTCTTAAACCTTAAATGCAGTCATTAAAGAAAGTAGGGCCCTGAGTAAAATGTCAGCCAAGACTTCCCAACTCACAATGATGAAATCAATTGCCTCCAAAAGCAGTACAGAGGCAGGTGTCAATCATCTCTGCCAGAGTCTTCTGCTTCTCATTTAATGCAATTGGGCACATTTGAACCTTCGGTCTTAAAATACCATGTAAACATCTGTCGTTGTATCTGAAGGTCTTTTAAAATTATTTCATTGCACTTTGTAAACATTAGAAGACAAAGCTTTTAATATTGCGTGCGCATTTGTTGTGCTTCTTTCCACCATTTTGTAGGTCATCTCCTCCACATGTTAGAGGACAGGAATCTAAATGGTATGAGTATACAACACGCAGTATAATCAGAACTTGAGTAGGTGATCAGAAAACCTAGCCTAGTAGAAGGGTTTCGTCCCTGGTGCTCCCATTTATGGACTGCTGATTTCCTTTGCTTCGGTGTTCTGCCAATGTCTTGTTTCCAGCTTTATCATCTGAAGCATGAATAGCAAGTTTTAAATTGTGTGATCTCAGAGGATCTCAAATCTGCTTACTCTTTTGATGAGCTAAAGAGCTGAGAATTATGCACCCAGCTGGTAAAGGGAAAAGCAGACATAATACCTTTTCCCCATCCTCTACAACCCTTTGTAGAAGTAATTTTTGTTGATAAAATAGTTAGGACAGCAGACCATTTGGAAATCATTTTTATCAAAATGAAACACCCCCGTACTACATACACACAATTGTGTGTGTGTCTGTGTGTGTGTGTGTGTGTGTGTGTGTGTGTGTGTGTATTAAGAATTAGCTACATCAGAGCCACTCTACTTCATTCTTCTTCTGGATGAACAACTGAAATATCTTTTTCTTTTTTTGAATTGGAGTCTCACTCTGTCACCCAGACTGGAGTGCAGTGGCACACTCACGGCCACCCCAGCGTCGACCTGCTAGGCTCCAGTGATCCTTCCACCTTAGCCTTCCAAGTAGCAAGAACTACAGTCACGTGCTACCACACCTGGCTTTTTTTTTTTTTTTTTGGTTTATTGTAGAGACGAGGTCTCACCAAGTTGCCTGGTCTGGTCTCGAACCTGTAAGCTCAGGCAACCCATTTGCCTCGGCCTCCCAAAGTGCTGGGATTATAGGCTGAGCCACTGAGCCTGGTCTAACTGAAATATCTTTAGAAGAGTCATCATTGGAATGTCTTTGCTGTAGTAGAGTAAGAAAAAAGTATCCATTTTTAGCTATATAATATAGTGTGTAAATTCAGTATATTAATGCTCATTAAACAAAAAAATTGAAAAGATTTTAGCACAGTTCTTAATACTGTTCATGCTTCAATAACCAAGTATTTATTGAATACCCACTGCTCTCAGCACTGTGAGGAGATACCAGAGATGAGTAATATGTCTTCCTCTCACATATGTAACTGGGGAATAAAAAGAATGAGTGTAAACAAGCAGAGAGCAAGACACAGCAGAGGCTCTAAGTTGGAAGGTGGAAACGCATTGCAGGATTGAAATATCATTCTCAAGTCCTTGGCTTGTTTAATTTTGTGGTTATATTTAAGGAGCATCAAAAGATGCCTCCTCCTGTTTTTTGTCTCTTCATTAGTCCTTTGCATTGCAGTTTCCTGGCCAATGCAAAACTTTATTATTCAAGAAAAGGTTGGTGTTTAACTCCAATTTTCTCTTTACGGTTGTCTGATACAGTTGTGCCCTCAGTTTCTGAACACGAATTGTACATGACCCTCTCTCAACTCTGCAAGAATTCTGATTTCTTCACCCAGCCCCTGCAATACTGTTTCTGTTCATTGCCTCTCCCCTCCTCACCTGTAACAAACCAAGCAAAGTCTCTCAGCCTCACAGAGCTTTCTTTTTCAGTCCTCCTCTGGGAGCTCTTTATCCCCGTTTCCCTCTGCAGCTGCAGGAGCAGCAAACATCCTGACTCCCCACCTCACCGCCTACTCTATGCTGGAGCACATTGGCGCCCTCACCTAGACCACTGCTGCTAGTGCCCTAAGCACACCCCTGCTCTCTTGTTTTCATCAGCTCTCTCTAATGTTTCTAAGGTCACAGTAATGTTTTCTGGGTCAAAACTCTCAGAAAGCTAAAAGAGGGCAAGCTCATTTTCTTTCCCATCCTTCTCTTTTCTATCATGTTATTTCATACACTAAATGGAGTGTGAATGAAACACAGAAATCATGTCAAGCTAAGATAAAGGAAGCCACAAGAGCACAGTGCGACTTTCTCTAGTCCCTCTGGATAGGTGATCAGTTCACTCTGCTTATGGACTTGGGAGTGTCTTTAAAAAAGAATACAGCCTTTTGCCCTCTTGTACATTTCCATCTTTCAAGTTTGAAAAGTTTTTTTCTGTTTGTTTGTTTGAGTTGGAGTCTCACTCTGTCACCCAGACTGGAGTGCAGTGGCACGCTCCCGGCCACCGCAGCCTCGACCTGCTGGGCTCCGGCGATCCTTCCACCTCAGCCTTCCAAGTAGCTGGAACTACAGGCACGTGCTACCATGCCCGGCTACTTTTATTTCGATTTATTGTAGAGATGAGGTCTCGCCACATTGCCCAGGTGGTTCTCGAACCCACGGGCTCAGGCAATCCACTCACCTCAGCCTCCCAAGCGTGGGATTACAGGCTGAGCCACCATTCTGTTATGTGTTTTTTTGAGCAATACTTAAAAAAATTTTAACTACTAGGTAGAAAGCTAATCTTTTCCTCATCATCTTCAAATAGTTATTTAATGCAATAATTTAAAATATATACACCCAAACAAAAGATTCATATTCACAAAATTTTATTGTGAACCACTGCTATTATTATTCCTTTGAATCACATATATAAGATTTAAGTTTGGTTCTCTTTACCCTTGTGTCTCTAAACTTTTTTCCTGGAAGAAAAAAAATCAGTGGGACCAAGGAAAGTGTAGAAGGAAACCCTAACCAAGCAGTTTAAACCACGTCCTTTGACATTTCCCCAAGTCTGGGGTGATCTTGTGAAATCCTTCCTTACGACCATGTCTAAAACTGAAGAGATTTTTGCATTCACATTCAAAAAACGGTTGCAAGTAAAAAGATGCCCTCCCACCCACAAGCCTGAGCTGTACAGAGCTATGAATGTTTGTTCTATCAAGTCTATCAAGAAATATTTGGATTTAAGTCATCAGTCCCCTCCAAATGACGGAAATTTATCAAATGATGTAAAAGCTGCTGTGCCTCATTTGAGTCATAATTAAATTACGTTGACATTTTAATGTGCATGCACAGAATATCTTAATAAAGATGTATTCCTGGGGGGGAGGAAATGCTGTGATTTTAAACAAACAAAGACAAACACAGGATACTAGAACCACATGAAACATAACATGGCAGGTACGCGCTATGAGAAGAAAGCCAGAAACACCACCTATCTTCATGTGAGTTTCTCAAGATGAGGTGGGACTGAAGAAAAACAGAGAAAGGGAGATTCTTCCACCCAGAAGGCTGACAGTGCCTCTGACTTCAGAGCATTAGGCACGCTGCCTAGAGGTGGCAATTCCAGGCTTCACATCAATCAACAAGAATATATGAAACACCCAATATGTATCTAAAACTCTGCTAGGCAATCCACGAGAGAAAGGGCATGAGAAATAATCTCTACTCATTAGAAGCTTATGGTGAAATTGGGGATACAAACAAACACAAAGGAAAACAATTTCTGGACAATGCTACATTACACAACACAACAAATAATATCGGTATTTTAACAGGAAATTGTGCTGTAAAAATAATTAGACAATGCTGATAGTTTCTCAACTTCCATGTGCAATATTGATGTTTAATCAAGAGACTGCTATGTGTTAGATATCTTTGAATTATAAAAATGTCATTAGTCCTTGCTGGAGAACTCTGTGCAAAAAAGATATTTTCCCCCACTAAACTAATTCCACAAAAGCATCAGCTTACATACATAAAAGTAGAATCATGCCCCCAAAAATTCCCAAGAAAGTTTTGACTAATGGAGCTTCTGGATCTTCATGTTAATCATTTAAATGTTGACCATATGTCATTACTGTTAATTCCCAGAGAAGAGCAAAAATTTCCTCACCCCCCTCTCTACCAAACACTTTTAGATAATCATCACTGTTCCACTGGTGTAGATAGTTTCTGTGGATAATTGAGTTCCTGCTGTCCCTATTACTTGCTGTTCCCATTACTTGTCCCCATTACTTGTTTTAAAACCTGAAAACAAAGGAAAATATCCTCCTTTGCATAGTGGACTAAGTCATGCTGTTTTATTTCTCTCTTCTCTGTCCTTTTACCATAAATCTCATAAAGGAAGTATTTTACTTTTTTTTGGTAATCATAAGAGGAATGACTTGCATTTTCTGTTGTATGCTAAATTTCCTGAAGTATCTTACGTTCCCACCCTCCCCTCATCTCCTCCTGCCATTCTTTCTGTGTGATTGCATCCTTGCTTCAACCATGTATTTCTAATTCAATAGGAAACTTTTTTAAATGGTCTAGTTACCCATGAGACTATCTAAGGTGACTATACATGGGAGTTTTCCTGGGACAAGAATGTCTGTGCTGTCCTGGCATAATTATC